AGAACACAGCCACTACAAGGCAATGCTTCCCCAATGCATCGTCCATATTTATATAAATCCACATTCTATAGACTCTCTGAGTAAGGCATTACTCAGTCTGACTGTGATTATATATACAGACTTTCTTAGATATACCTTAGTTTCTAAATCTCTTAGACTTTGTGAGTAATCAATATTAACCACTGGTGACAACCAAAACAAACTGGCTGTATAAATTAATGCTACCAAATAAATACCAAAATGTTGTCTGGTCACCAAAATGCATTTGTACATCTCTTAAAGAAGCATCCTAGTAAAGCTGAGATTTGTCAGTAGCCAAGAGTGGTTTTATCAACAATGTTGGACTAAATCATTGGGCAGGGCAATGAATCTATATTCCAAAATACTTCATGATAACATCCAAATATCAAAAGCACAACCAAAATCCCAACATGTAATGTCATCAGGAACACAGAATGACCTCAACAGCCAAGAAACAAAGCCTACGCATTTTCAGGCTTTGACCATGTAACCTTTGAAACCACATTTTTAAACGAAAGCTCTTAAAAGACTCAAGTTTCCAAACAGGTAGACTGGCTCACCAGCCTCCAAAGCAGGTGAGGCTTACCTATCACACTTTTGGCAAAAGAAGCTCGTTTCAGGGTTGCCAGACCGAGGTCTCCAATCTTGACTGATCCAGTGGGGCCAGTAATGAAGATGTTGTCACATTTTAAGTCTCTATGAATAATGGGAGGAGTGCGCGTGTGTAGAAATTGTAAGCCTTTCAGTATCTGACGACACCAGCTCCGCAGTACTTTAATTTTCATCACTTTAAATCTTTTCAAATACCTAATGAAAAAAGTAACAGTAGGTTAAACAGGTGCTGGTAGCAAGCAGGAGCTTATGCTATGTCATTTGCTGTTCTGAAATAAAAAAGCAGTAATTAAAGAGATGCCCAAATTTCAGCTTCACCTTCTATTGTAAAATCTACCTGAGCATTTCAAGACTTCAGAGGAGCTGAAGATAATTCCCCCTCCTAAAAATCTACCTCCTTCTAGCCAGTGGACTATAGTGCTGAAAGATAAATGTGAAATACTTGATCTATAGCTAATACTCATTTGCACACCAAGTTACCCTATGGTAACCAGACAGTTTGCTTGCTACGTTTCAAAGCACGGCTTCCCTGACGAAGAGTCAAAGGCTTGACCATTACAACAATTCTTTATCTATTAATTTAAGAGGGGTTTTATTTTTCCTTTTATCCTGAAACTGCTTAAATAGTTACAATACTTTCCTTGATTAAGTATAACTAGGTGGGAGGGTGGGGCACTAGAGCCAAAATGCTAGCAACCACCAAGTACAGAGCTGTTGCAAACTGTGCAAGAGCTCTAACGTCATTATACCTTAGTAATCAATATTAGTCCAAGCACTCTGGTCAAGGTTTCCAGCTTACACTTTAAACCCGCTTCAAATCTATCTGTTGAGCTGTCAAGCAAATTAGAAATTCTTAGAGATCACTCTCCTAGTGCAGCACAGGGTTTGATCACCTCAATCTGACTGGTGTAAGTCACTACTTCAAAACTACAGACACAGCAGGGAAATATTTAAAAAGGCTCTGTCAAATAACTGACATGGAAGAGTTCATAAATAAAGTCAGTATTTCTTTGCAGGTAGAATGTGACTCAATCACAGAATGACACAATGGTCGGGGTCAGAAGGGACCTCTGTGGGTCATCTGGTCCAACCCCTCTGCCGAAGCAGGGTCACCCAGAGCAGGCTGCGGAGGACCTTGGCCAGGCGGGGGTGGA